ACTTCTTTGGGGATGTTTAGGAAAAGCAAACACTCTGGTGGGAGGTGTTCTGCCCATTGAGGCCAAGCGCAGGAACACTGAGAGAGAAATTTACCGTGACTCGGCTGCCGAAACAGAACTGATCCAGTAGACACGTGCGTTTAGGTTTTGTCTCAGCAACTTGGCCCGTTCCCACGCTCTGCTCTCGCTTTGCAGACGGAGGATAAAAACCGCCAGTTGCAGGAGCGCCTGGAGCTGGCGGAGCAGAAGCTGCAGCAGACGCTGCGGAGGGCGGAGACGCTGCCGGAGGTGGAAGCCGAGCTGGCGCAGAGGGCGGCCGCGCTCTCCAAGGTGCTGCGCTGGGGCCGGAGGGGGGTGGGGGGGGCGCAGAGGTGGCCGCGCTCTCCAAGGCGCTGCTCTGGGGCCGGGGAGGTGGGGGGGCGGGGCGCAGAGGTGGCCGCGCTCTCCAAGGCGCTGCTCTGGGGCCGGGGAGGTGGGGGGGCGGGGCGCAGAGGTGGCCGTGCTCTCCAAGGCGCCGCGCTGGGTCCGCTGGGGGCGGCCGCGGGGAAGGCCTGTTCCTGTGCCATCCCACCATGCCCCTTCCCCTGCTGCTCAGGCCACGCGGGCATGGGGGTCGTGCTGCCCGTCTGAGATGGGAGCGCTCCCTGTGTGTCGGACAGTCCGCGCTTCTGTGTCACCCCTACGTTAATTCCCTCCGTTTTGTCCGTGTTCTGTGTCCCCAGGCCGCTTCAGCTCTGAGTCACTGGCTCGGAGATCAGTCAGCCAGCAGCTCAAAGCCCTAGTAGGACAGTTCTTCTCAGACCTAGGAAAATCCCATTCTCGTTTAGGGGACTGTTAAGTCTTTATTGACACACTTTTGAATAAGTCACTGCAGGGCACGGGCAGACCCGGGGCCCCGCTCCCAGCTCGCCGTCCCCGGGAGTCCGCACTGCCGGCCGGCCACCCCGTCCTTCTGGAGGGAAAGGCGTGGCCCCGCGCTGCCGGTGGGCACTGGCTGGGCACGGAGGGGCGGCCGGGCCTGTGCTGGCGCGGCTGTCGGGAGCGTCTGGGCAGTGTCAGGCGCTCGCAGAGCCCCCCCAGCCCGCCCGGCAGGGTCACTGACAGCCGCCAGGGGGCGCCCGTCTGCCTGTGATCTTCCTCTCAAGGCCCGGTTTCTTCTCTCCCCCTGCATCCCTGCTGCCTGCCCCTGGTCGGCCTTGTAGTCTGACCTTTTGTCTTCCGGAAGCTCTGCCACTCAGGAGGCTAAACTGTTCGAACTTACCTCCCAGCTTAGGAAGGTAGAACGTGTGCCTCGCGTGTCCCGCGCTTGCCGCTGCCTGCTGCCCGTGCTGGCTCGCCACACGCAGTCCGAGTTGGGGGCGCAGCGGCCGCGGGTGTGGGGCCCAGGGTGGGGGGAGCACGTCTCCTCTCACGAGCCCGTCACCAGCACCCTCCGTCACCCACGTGTCACACGCGAAGCTGCTCAGGCTGCGTGAGCAGGCGTGCGGGCGTGCCCCCCTGCGAACCCGGGGCCAGTGGCCCGCACAGAGCATGGCCCGCTTGCCGCCCCTGCAGTCATAGCCTGCGTGCCGTCAGGACGGGGTCGCTGCGAGCGGGACTGATGCTGTTCTTGGCCGACAGGCGGAGGAGAGGCATGGCAACATCGAGGAGAGGCTGCGGCAGATGGAGGCCCAGCTGGAGGAGAAGAACCAGGAGCTGCAGCGGGTGCGTGTGCCGGCGGGGAGGCCACGTCTGGGCCGCCGCCCCGTCTCTACCATCAAGCGTGTGCGTGTGTGGCCTCATCTGCTGACCCAGGCACCCGCCTCTTCGGGAGCAGGGCCAGAGGTGGTCACCCGTAGGCGGTGGGCAGGGGCCAGGGGGTCCCCACGTCCAAGGACGCTGCTTGTTGCTCTGAGCAGCCAGTCGGGGAGCTGCTCAGGGTACAGGTGGGCCTTAGAGTGCCCCTCAGACAAACCTGAGGTGCCAGCCCGGGGCCCATGAAGCTGAAGGCACGGCGCCTAGGCGTGCAGCTCGCTTGCCTCGGAGGAGGCGCTGGAGTCCCACATGCCAGACTGCTGGTCCAGACACGGTGTGTGCGGGGTGGCTGCCCCTGGGCAGGAGGAGAACGGCAGTTGCGCTGCGACAGGAGGCGCGTCAGGAAAGGGCGATGGTGGAGGCTCGCGTCAGCGAGTCCTGAGAGAGGTCTCCCAGAGGGGTTGGTCACACGTCGATGTGGACCCTCCAGGAAATGGAGGGGGTCCCAGGTCCAGCCTTAGGCGTCAGTACTGCCCCTACCGCACCTGTGTTCTTGGGCCTGAACTGCAGAGCATCACATGTGGGCTCCCGGGGGGCAGTGACTCCGATTCCCATCAGGAGACCCGCGGTGAGGCGCCCTCCCCGCCTTGGCAGAGAGCTCAGCGTCTCCTAATCAGCGGCGTGCTTCCTTACTTCAGAGCTGCTGCTCAGAGGCTGTTGAGATAGGGGTGCTGTTTATGACTAAGACAATTCAAAGGAAACTTTCGTTTTAAAAATATGTGAATGCCGATGCCTTATTGTGGAAGCTGTGACAGGTTTTATTTTCCTGGGCTCAAAAATCACTGCAGACGGTGACTACAGCCGTGAGATTAAAAAATGCTTGCTCCTTGGAAAGCTATGACAAACCTAGACAGCATATTAAAAAGTAGAGATACCACTTTGCAGACAAAGGTCCATATAGTCAAAGCTATTGTTTTTTTTTTCCAGTAGTCACATATGGATGTGAGAGTTGGACCATAAAGAAGGCTGAATGCTGAAGGAACTGATGCTTTTGAATTGTGTTGCTGGAGAAGGTTCTGTTTTAACAGAAAATAATCTGTTTTTTAATTTTTTTATGATGGAAAACTTCAAACATGCCCCAAAGTGGAAGGAGTATAATAAATACCCATGACCCATCAGTTAGCTTCAGCAATTTCCAACACAGGGCCAATCTCAAATATATCATTCTTTTGTCTTCTCTCCATTTTTTTTTTAATACAGTAGGTCCTAAAACAGCTTTTTAAACCATGAAATTGATGTTCAGTTTTTTTTTTTAGTTCTACCACTTTATTGCTACCAGCCCATCTCCCTCCACCCTCGTGCACACATGCTCAGTCATGGAATCCCATGGACTGCAGCCCGCCAGGCTCCTCTGTCCGTGGACTTTTCCAGGCGAGAATGCTGGAGTGGGTTGCCATTTTCTTCTCCATCATGTTCGTTTTATAAAACACAGACTTGCCCACTTTGTTTTTACATTTAAAAATTGCTTGAGGTTTTTTAATATGAATTATCATATTGGAAAAGACCCTGATGCTGGGAAAGATTGAAGGCAGGAAGAGAGTGGATAACAGAGGATGAGATGCTTGGATGGCATCACCAACTCAATGGACATGAGTTTGAGCAAGTTCTGGGAGATGGTGATGGACAGGGAAGCCTGGCGTGCTGCATCCCATGGGGTTGCACAGTCAGACACGACTGAGCAGCTGAACTGAACTGAACATGAGTTATCATTGGAAGAAAAGTTATGACCAACCTAGACAGCATGTTAAAAAGCCAGAGACATTACTTTGCCATCAAAGGTCCACCTAGTTAAAGCTATGGTTTTTCCAGTGGTCATGTCTGGATGTGAGAGTTGGACCATAAAGAAGGCTGAGCGCCACAGAATTGACGCTTTTGAACTGAGGTGTTGGAGAAGACTCTTGAGAGTCCCCTGGACTGCATGGAGAGCAAACCTATCAATCCTAAAGGAAATCAGTCCTGAATATTCATTGGAAGGACTGATGCTGAAGCTGAAGCTCCAATACTTTGGCCAATGCTTTTTCCAATGCCTGATGCAAAGAACTGACTCATTGGAAAAGACCCTGATCCTGGGAAAGATTGAAGGCAGGAGAAGGGGCAACAGAGGACGAGATGGTTGGATGGCATCACTGACACGATGAACATGAGTTTGAGCAAGCTCTGAGAGATAGGGACAGGGAAGCCTGGCGTGCTGCAGTCCATGGGGTCACAAAGACACGACTGACTGAACAGCAGCAATCAGCACATAGAGGTCAAGTGATGTAGTGTATAAAGAAAACATGTGAAGTCTGTCTCCACGTGCTTTTTTTCCAAAATGAATTTTCTCAACCTTTTGCTTTATAAATTGAATTCATTTTACCCCCTTAATCCAGACTCAGGCTTCTGTTTTTATACTGGGAAATTCTTCCACCAATGTGTGTGTGAGCTGATCCCCTTTAAAGTCTGCTTGTTTCTGAGTATAAATCTGCTTGCTCCCCGAGCCCCTCCGACAGGCAATGGCTGGTGACAGTAAGGTCCCCCAGGTGCTCTGCCAAATGGAAGTGTTGGGAGTGACCTTTGACAAGTGAAGTCCCTGCCGCGCTCTGCACCCGCCCATCTGCCCTGCTGGTGCTCCGGCGCCCCCCCAGAGGGGGCCGTGGCAGGGGACCGCCTGGGGAGCCGGGGCACGGGCTGCTCACGTTGCTGCTCACGTCGCTGCTCACGTCGCTGATTTTAAAGTAATGACCGTGCTTGTTCTTGAAATTGATGAGTTTTTGTTTTTCTGTTTTAGGCAAGGCAGAGAGAGAAAATGAATGAAGAACACAATAAACGCTTATCAGATACCGTGGATAAGCTTCTGTCTGAATCAAACGAGAGGCTTCAGCTTCATCTGAAGGAGAGAATGGCTGCTCTGGAGGATAAGGTGAGCTGGCCCCGTGGCCACTTTACAGAGAGGCGCGTCTGGCCCAGCCCGGCCGGGTTTGTCGGGGGGCCGGCGGCGGGGTGGGACCTCCAGGTCAGGAGTTGGAAAACTGTTCCCATAAAGGGCCCCACAGTGATGGTCTTTACTGGTTACGAATAGCTGAGTAGCAGCCCTTCACACTACTCAGTAAGCGTGACAGCATCCACAGGCAGTATATGAAGGAGCAGACAGCCGTGTGCCTGCAGCCTCACAGAGAGCATCCGTGAGCCGAATCCGCCGCTGGCCCCGAGGTTGCCAGCCGCTGTGCTCCGGCTTGCTGCTAGGCCCACCCTCACCTTTATTCTAGGTCACCCTTGGTTTCTTTCTTAGAAGTTTATGTCTGGGGCTTTCCTGGCAGTCCGATGGTTGAGAGCCTGCCCTGCAAGCTCAGAGACGCAGGCTGGCCCCTGGTTGGGGAGCTGGCATGCTGCGGGGTGACCCCAACAAAGGCGGCCCCATGTGATGCAGCTGAGGCCTGACGCTCCTGGTCAGTGAGTTTAGTTCAGTAGCTTTTATATGCTGTGATAGAGAAGACTGAATCAACTCAAAGTAAGCATTCTCATATTCCAACTCCAGCCTTCTCTCTTTTCATTTGCTTTGGAAAATGTCTGCAAGCCTCCATCAGAGCATCTCAGTGGGCAGCAGTCTGGTTCAGGTTTGGTGAAAACCTGTCCCAGCTACACCAGTGCCCTAAAGATGAGGCCCAGAACCATCCCAGAGGTTGGCGCTTGGGCGACGCTTGTCCGAGAGAGACCAGTGGTCACTACAAGTTTGCAGCACGTTTTTCCCCCACAAAACCCACTAGAGACCCCACAGGGCGGGCCCCTCACTTCACCCTGACCTGCGGGCCCGCCCTGAGGTGGGGGTGGCTTTGTCTTGGGTTTGAATTCTGCGTGTGAAACCTACGCCAATTTCCTGGGTGACCACTGAACTGCACAAGCTGAAAACAAGTTTAAAGCAGTTCCACTTACCCCAGGGACCCAGCCTCCTTGCATCTAGATCAGTCAGGAAAGGAGGAGAGGCACCTCATGCTGGGCGCGAGGCCCGCCACTCTTCCCGAGGTGCTTGACGCTTTCAGACAGAAGTGTAGCCGTCCCGCGGTCCACGCAGTGTCTGTAAGAATTGACCCTAAAGCACTGTTGGTATCTTTTTCAGAATTCTCTCCTACGGGAAGTTGAAAATGCGAAAAAGCAGTTAGAAGAAATGCAAAACGACAAGGTACTTAAATCTCTAAATCATTCAGAAATTTGTCAAGAGCTGTATTGAGCTGGGTTCATTGTTACAGTTACTACAGATGCCTAGCAGAAGTTGAGTTACATCTTCTTTGTGGCTCGTCCACTGCTGTACCGTGTATAGCATTTCTGGTTTTGAACATTGAGTGTGTTTGCATTATAGGTGGATTTAGAGTGTGTGGCCGCCGTGTGTGGTTCAGAATTCCAAGTAGTCCTTTCTGGGTTCACCCGAGAGCTGAGACAAAGCATGAGCCTTTCACATGGACAGTGCTGTCCGTCAGAAAGATACTATGAGCCACTATACGAACTAAAATTTCCTGGAAATGAATGGGCTGCTTTGTGTTGTGTTTTTCACCGTGAGTCCTGACATCTTCTGTGTGATTTCCACATGGAGCTCTGCACTCTGGGGCTGCACTCGGCAAGTGCCTGCCGCAGCCACAGCCCAGAGCTGCTGCGTTGAGCGGAGCGACTTGGAAACTTGGCCCATGTGACTTGTTTTACCCCATGAGGAGGTGGAGTGGGGTGCAGAGGAGTGGGTGTGAGCTCCGTGGAGACATTTAAAGCAGTGAGGGGCGAGGGCAGCAAAGGGAGTCCTGGCGCCGCCCCCGGCCCAAGTCCAGCCTCTCTCTGCAGACCTCATCACTGGTGATGTCTTGCCATATTTCCTCCAGAAGCTTTTCTACAGCTGAAATGTAACTTCTTATTCATTATGGTTTATAAGTTTAATATTGCTCTGAGTGTTTATGTTTGCTGTGGGACTCTTAGAGGAAATTTTCTCAGAATTAAAGTGTTCAGAGTTGATAACTAGTAACGTAAGCTGTTATGCCCATTTTGGCGCAAGTCATTTTACATCTGGAAAGCAAACGGTGCAGACTGTGTCATTTGCTGTTTCGTAGGACCAGCTGATTCTAAACCTGGAAACCCTGAGAGCCGAACTGGAGCAGACGAGGCTGCGAGGGGCTCCCCTCCACCACGGGTAGGGCGCCCCCCGGGCAGCTCCCCTCCACGCTGCCAAGGGGGACAAGGGCCCGTCTGCTCTGCAGACAGCGTGCCTGGGAGTCGCTCACAGTCGCGCCTCAAGGAGCCTGTAGTTTCGTGGCCAGCAAGAGGGAAGAGACAAGCATCGTTCCTTAGGGTCGAACTAGGTGCCAGGGAGAGTGGTGGTCACAGTATTGACAAAACTCAAAACCAGAGTTGGAGGTTTGGAAGTGGGGGGCGGACCAGCTGATATTTGGGTGTATTCATTTGAGGGGCCTGACAGACTGTGACACTGGTGTTTCTTAAGAATCGCAGAAGATTAACGACCTGTAGTCATTTTACATGAACGGAGACTGAGACATGACTTGTGGTTGGCTGCCATGGGAGGAATCCCCCAGCTTGTAAATGAGGCCAGCAGATTACTCAGCATCCTTGTTTTCTTACTCCTTGTTATAGGGACAGTAATTTTTACTAAGTATTTAGATTTTTCTTTGGCTGCTTCATGGAAAATGGTCACAAGGGAGATTTAAACTTTAGCAAAGGTTATTAAAGTGCTTAACTGGTGACATTCATTCATCTGTAGGAAATCGACTCCTGCTTGAATCCTGACTTAGGAGAGAGTTTGGAGCCCACACGCATATTTCTGCATTTGCGTGTTTAGGGGATCCTCGCGGTCCAGGGCCTGTGCCCAGCCTTCTTCTAGAGAAAAGGGATATCATTGCAGACAGAGGCAGAGCCAGAAACTGGCCCTGTGTCCGAAACCACGGTGGGTGGAGGTCAAGGGGCACGCATGCCCTGCAGGACGGGTGGGGACATGGGCAGCCTTGCCCGCAGAGCTCCTCCAGGGTGTGGGGCTGGTGCTGTCAGAGGGGGAGACCCCCTGCTCCTGGGGTGGGCGAGGTGAGTGTGCGGAGGACTGTGTAGACGGTGGAGGAAAAGGAGGTGGACACAGCCTCCTGCTCTAGGGGCTTTGGGTAACGAGGAGGGCGCTGATGCCGGGACCCGAAGGCCTGGCGCGCTTGGGGGTTCAGAGGGAGAAGCCTGGTCACCAGTCCCCTGTGTGTCAGCGAGAGAGAGAGCCGAGAAGAGGCGGCAGCCGCGGGGCAGGACGGGCCACTGTGCTCTGAAGATGGGGGGCTGCAGTGGCTGGGCGAGGGAGGGGTGTCTCCAGGAGGCTGCTCTCGAGGGGTCAGTGGCTCAGAGGCACAGGTGGAGCCTCAGGGCTGGGCTTGCGGGCAGGGCAGGCTGGCTCGGGGGGCAGGGAGTGGGGGCTAAAACCTGGCTCAGAGGCAAGGCGGGCTTGGCGTATTTGGCAGGACCTCCCAGTGAAGTTGGTCACCTTGTCTCTGAGACCTCCTGGAAGAAAGAGCCTCAGGTGAGGTGGGGGAGAGAGACAGAGGCTGCATTCCGCGAGGGGACTGGGAAGTGATGGTAGTGGGGGCGACCCAACCCAGAGGCCTTTGTGGCCTTCAGAGGACCCGCGAGTGTACACAGTCCCAGGCGGGACTGTGTCGTAGCTCCCACTCGATTCCCAAGTGTGCTGCGGTAGAAGTTCAGCAGAGAAAGGAGTGGCTCCATTAGGAGGGAGGCGAGACAGGAGGGAAGACAAGTGTGGCTCTGGGAGATTCCAGACTTGCATCTCCTGGGAAACACCGTGTGGCTCAGCTCTGAGCTGTGGGTCCGAGGGCTTTGTGCTGCAGGCTGTCTGAGGCGCTGTTAGAAGCTCAGTGGGGCAGACGGTGTTCCAGGGAGACGGGTGTTTGTGGTCTGCGGACGTCACGCGGGAGGTGGAGGGCAGAGCAGGCACGGGCCGGAGGGGAATGCGGGTGCCCAGGAACCCGCAGAGCAGGTGCAGGCCCGCCCCGGGACCTGAGGGCGTGCTCCGGGGGGACGGCGGGCCCTGAGCCCCGGGCAGCCGACCGCACCCTTGTGTCAGCACTGCCTTCCCCACATGTGGGGGCTTCCCAGCTGGCGGCGCTGAGACCTGAGTGTTCACGGGGCAGCGGGCGGCCTGCTGCTGTTGGAGCCACGAGGGCAGTGCCCGCCTCGGGGCCCCTTTTCTGTGAAATTGCCGATTTTCCAAATGGACAGGCTCTGGCTTGACTGACAGAGCGAGCTCTCTCCTTCTGACAGCGCTCTTCTTTCCTGTGTGTTCCAGCCGACCACACCTGGGCAGCGTCCCGGACTTCCGGTTCCCTGTGGCCGACGGGCCTGCAGACTCCTTCGGTGGCGCGGCGGTCCTGCGGCGCCCCCAGAAAGGCCGGCTGGCAGCTCTGCGTGATGAGCCGTCCAAGGCGAGGCCCCCCCCACCCCTGCCCCCGCCCATCCCTGTGGGGCACCTTGAGAGGCCCTGCCCCTCACACTGTGGTCCTGACGGGGGTTTGGAACCAAGTGTTGGTAGATCGCTTTACGTCTTCCCATTTTCCTTTTTCTGGTTAAGAGTTTACTTTTAAGGCATGGGTTTTTTTTTTTTTTAAGAACCAGTTTTAATAACTTATAGCTTACTGTGAGGCCCAGCACAGTACTAGTTAGCACAGTTTTGAAATCAGTGTGCGAGTAAATGGATCCACACATCCCTCATGTTTTAGTGAGAAGAATTCTCGTCGGAAGTTTAAGTGCCTTTGTATTTCTGCCTCGTTCATGGCATGTAATTTTTCACATGTCTCTGTGTTTTGAGCTTCCAAGTTCAGTAGGCAGCTAGTTTAGGCCAGACATCATCGGAACTAGGACCCCAGCAGTGACTTAAAAACCATGTGTGTTCTTGATCCACTGCTACATGACGATTCACTGCAAAGCTTAGTGACGTCGCATGGAGCAGGTCACGGCCCACAGTTTCTGAGCGTTGTAGCCGAGTCAGGGCCTCCTGAGGGGGCAGGCGTGGGAAGGCCCCCGGGGCTGGATGGCAGGCTCGCAGACTCACCTGGCTGGCGGGGCCTCTGCATGGCCTGGCCCTCCTCTGAGCGTCCTCTGCGAGCGAGAGTGCGGGGCGGAGCCCGGGGCCTTTTGCGCCTCGGTCCCGGAAGCTGCACACCTTCACTTCTGTTGTGAGAGTGAGCTGCGAGGTCCTGCCTTGCTCAGGAGCTGAGCAGGAGTTGCCCCCTCTGCCTCTTGAAGGGAGGAGGATGGAAGAACTTGTGGGCACGTTTTTAAACCCGCGCAGCCTGCCGGACAGTAATGAGCAGGGAGAAGAGACCAGAGTGCCCGTTGTCCGAGGAAGAGGGGATGGTCATGTGTGAGCAGGGTGGTCAGCGAGGTGACCCCAGGAGGGTGACCTTGAACCAGAGGCCCGGGGGCAGGAAGAGAAGTAGCCACTCGGAGATAGATCAAGGGTCGTGTCAGCCAGTGGGGACAAGGGAGAGAGGGCTGCATCAGGGAGGACCCGGGCTCAGGGCTGAGCAGCTCGAGGCCGGAGCCTGTTTCCTGTGGTGAGGAGGGCCCTGTGGAGGTGGACGGGCCTGTCCAGGGGACATGTCAGGTCAGCAGCTGAGTGTTCCGGCCTGGATCTGGGAGAGGACTCACTCAGCTCAAGGTGGACTGGGGTCGTGGGCATACAGATGGTGTTTAAAGGCACGAGCAAGATAAAGTCACCAGGCAGGTGCCCATGGAGAGAGATGGGGTGCAAGGGTAGAGCCAGGGGGCGCCCCACGTTCTGAGCTTGAGAAGGGGCGCAAGGGACTGAGGCAGAGCCCCAGGGAGGGTGGGGCCTGGAGCCGAGGGAGAGACACGGGGGGTGGGGTGGGGGCTTGGTAACATGGGGTCCTCGGAGCCCCCGGGGAACTGCTCTGCAGGGTGGGCACACCGCCTGCTTGCAGAGACCGGGTGGGAGGGGTACAGTAGAGGCCGCTCCCGGGGAGCTCTCAGAGGCTGCAGTGGGCACGCAGGGAGCCCTGGAGGAGGAATCTGCTGGTTCCCGTGGTGCGATTTTAAGGCCGGAGAAGGGAGAGGATGTGCTGCCCGAGCTGATGGGGGTGAACCCGTAGGCAGAGAAGGGTGTGAGCTGTAGGAGCGGGCAGGTGGCACGGGCCCCAGCAGGTGCTCTCCCGTGCGTCTCTGATGACAGAGCTGCCTTGCGGTGTGAGGGGCCAGCCCCCAGGACGGCCCGAGTGCCTGCGACCCGGGAGGAGAGGCGGGGAGCTGGCCCTCCTGTCCCCTGGCTGTCCCCGCTCGCCCCTGTCTACGCATGTTCAGCCCGGAAAACAGGGTTGGGAACCCGTGAGGACGGCGCTTCTCGGGGAGCTAGTACAAGTGATGACCGCAGAGGTGGACCCAGCAGCTGCAGAGCTGAAGGATTTTCTTTTCTCACTTTCTTCAGCCCGGCTGGTGGTGGCATGGATGCATTTTTTAGTTTTCGGTTTTTGTCTGTGACTCCATCAGCCCTCCCTTGTGAATAACCTCATAGGATTGGTTGCCTCCCGTCCACGCTAAGACCTGAGTGTCACCAGGCCATCTGAGAGCTGGCTTCTCCTCCTCCCGTTTCCTCAGTCCTGCTCGCTTAAGAGATGGCAGTGTCTCATAAGCATGGCCGTTTATCCACAGTCGGGGCTTCCATGTAAGCTTGTGTTCTGTTCCTGATCCCCGTGAGCCGCACCGAATGTTGCTGACAAGCCGCGGTCCTCTCGTGCCCAGGTGCAGACGCTGAACGAGCAGGACTGGGAGCGCGCACAGCAGGCCAGCGTGCTGGCCAACGTGGCCCAGGCATTCGAGAGCGACGTGGACGTGTCTGACGGCGAGGGCGACGGGGCCACGCCCTTCAGCTCTGCCGCCCTGCTGTCCCCCAGTGGGCAGGCCGATGCCCAGACTCTGGCTATGATGCTCCAGGAGCAGCTGGACGCCATCAACAAAGAGATCCGGTGGGTGCGCCCGAGCCCAGTGCCCCAGAGACTCGGCTCCTCTGCGGAGCTGTCTTGTCCTCAGAGAAGTCTGAGTGTCCACAGGAAGAAAACTGATTTTGAGTCTGCTTCAGGAATTTTCAGTTCAAAATTTTCAGTTCCGAGATCGCCCTTGATGATGGAGCTCAGTCCTGCAGGGCACTCTGTCCAGTGTGGTGGCCGCACTCCGTGTGGGGGGTTGTGCAGTGTCCCCCCCAGCTCTGAACCCCAAGGTGGGCGAGATGCCGAGGCGGTGTCCCCTGCGGCCTGTGCACCCTCCAGCACCGAGGGTTCGCCCTCGTGTGTCCCTTGGAGCCTCCCACGTTCCGGTATGCAAAGCCACCTGGAACAGAAATGCTGGGGTTTGGGGTTGGCGAATTCCCACTCAGATCTGCATTTTCCTTTTTAAGTTAGCACAGTGTGAAAATTAGCTTGTTGCAGGACAGTGGTGCAAGGACGTGTGTTTGAGTTTTTCTCATCTCATCAGTATATTTAAGATGTTTTCTTTAGACACTGTCTTGGCAGTTATAACAGTTTACAAAATGGGATAGAATCCGAAGGCCTGCCTTGTGGTGAGCAGGGGGCCTTGGGTCTGGGTGCAGCCGGGTGGCTGGGGGGCCCCGCGGCCTGCCTGGGCCACACCCACACAGCCATGCCCCGTCCCGAGTCCATACTCAGAGTGGGCGCAGACCGGTGACCCTGAGCAGGACCTGGCAAAGCTGCTGCTCAGATTGTTCTCATCACGTCAGCCCAGGCTGAGGTGCCCGTTCCTGTCAGCTGAGCACGGGGGGCTTGGGGGGAAGGCAGGGGTGAGCGGCACAGCCAGCAAATGCAGGTGGTGCTGCCTGCGCTTCTGACGCTGTAGACGGACTGCTCGTGGGCCGTGTTCGAGCACAGACAGGCTCAGAGAGGTGTCTTCCCCATCCCCGCAGGAACTAGGAAACGGTTATTTTTTTTTTTTTCCCATTTATTTTTATTAGTTGGAGGCTAATTACTTTACATCATTGCAGTGGTTTTTGTCATACATTGACATGAATCAGCCATGGATTTACACGTATTCTCCATCCTGTATTCCCCATCCCGGTCCCCCCTCCCACCTCCCTCTCCACCCGATCCCTCTGGGTCTTCCCAGTGCACCAGGCCCGAGCACTTGTCTCATGCACCCAGCCTGGGCTGGTGCTCTGTTTCACCCTAGGTAATATACATGTTTCGATGCTGTTCTCTTGCATTTCACCTGCATGTTGTCAGGTAAGAGTGACTTTTCCTTATGCAGCAAGTGGACTTGATGGCAGTGGTAAATTCTGTCCATTGACTTGTTATCAACAGTGAAAAACTTTCAGGATGTACAAGTAGAAGTGAAACTGGAGAGGTGACGCCCTGTAAGAATTTTGTATTTTAATATGAAAATTATTTTATTTGCATAATCAAGTATTTAAACTGCTGCATAAAATCTTCCACTACAAATTAGGGGAGAAGAGCAGTAATCGTGAGTTATAGATTAATGTAGCACAATTGACATGAACCCAGAAACTCACACGAAGCTGGTGGAGAACCTCATCAAGTGATGCGTTTGTTCAAATACAACCTTAAAAAAAAAAGATCAACTCAGCCCTTCATCTGGTCTGGAGACTTGTGTTTAGGAACTCCAGCTTGTTCATGAATGGCTGTTTTGATTGTGCAGAGTTCCCGATTCCCAGTGGAAAAGACTTGAGGCACTGGCGTGCATCTCTGCCCTGAGAGCAGGGAAGGTGAAGGTTGTCAACTTCAGATATCCCCTCACAGGGAGACTTGCTGCGCAGGCCCCATCAGAATGTTAGAGTAAAGAAGTAAAATCAAATGTGAATGATCGGGGCCACTTTGTAAGACTCGGTGATAAGCTATTCTAAGTTTGAGAATATTCAAAAGAGGGAAAGTCAAATTTTTTTGCCGAGATGTTAATTGAGCAACTGCTCCTGGAATTTGCTAATCGTGACACAGAATGCAAGCCCAAATTTGTTGTCCAGACACGTTCCTCTGCTGACAAAGGCAGGTGACAGGTTTTGTTCTATTTTAGGTTGATCCAAGAGGAGAAGGAGAACACGGAGCAGCGGGCGGAGGAGATCGAGAGCAGGGTGGGCAGCGGGAGCTTAGACAACCTTGGTCGTTTTAGATCAATGAGCTCCATCCCCCCGTATCCCGCCTCCTCGCTCGCCGGCTCCTCCCCGCCCAGCAGCGGGCGATCCACACCCCGGAGGATGCCGCACAGCCCGGCGCGGGAAGTAGACCGGCTGGGCATCATGACTCTGGTACGTGTCTGCCTTTTCCCTGCCGTGTCCCTCCCCCCTGCCATGTCCCTCTCCCAGCACACTGGTTTGTGTTTTTTTTTGTTTTTTTTTTTCTCTTTTTACCCAGAAGAAAATCAGGTACATTTGCTATGCTTAGCAGTCTAAGATTCTTAAAATCGGCTAGTCTTTAATCATTCCATAATCGCACAGCAACAAATTAGTCTTGATATTTGGACCGCCAGCTTAGCACATTGTCATGAACTCAGAGCCGGCCTCTGTAACGCTGGGCCTGGCCTGCGCTGGCCACAGCAGCTGCAGGGGAGTTTCTGTTCTCAGGGAATAGTTTCGTGAAAGTAACCATAGGCAGCTCTCATGGCGTGTGAAAACCGCGCAGCACATTTTACATTGGGGATGCCTGGCTGCAGGGCGCAGGGCGTGTGGTGGGAACAGAATCAAACATCTAAACTGGCCCGCTTGCTGATGAATGAACCTGGCTGCGCGCTTGGGCCAGCTCTGCGTGTGAAACCAGGTTAAGTGCCTGGTGCCCCAGGGAAGGAGTCGGGCTTCCTCACTCTTCTGAGTCTAAAAAAGGGGATGGTGACCTAGGGCTTTTGGTGACAGAGTGTGCGTCTCTGAAGCACTTGTCCCAGCTCTCTTGTGTGTTTAGCTTGGGTTTTCTGAGTGCGCTGCTGTTTGCCCCATGAAATCACGTTTACAACACTCTGCTTTGTACCTGCACTTGTATTATCACTTCTTTCTGTTACCACCCATTTCATGTTAGCTGCATAGTTAGCCAGCGTATAATTAAATTATTAACTGTGAATCATTCTGGCGGCATGTGAAGTGGTAACTAGTCCTTTTTGTGGTCTTTTGACACATTGTGTTTATAATTTGTATCATTGGCTAATGAGTTGATATTTAAAATTCTTTGATGATTTCACTGTGGTTTCGTACTTGATTTCTTTCCGAGTATTTGTAAAAGAACAGTTCTGTGTGTGTTTTCCTTGTTGTGGAGTTCTCTGATGGCGTGTCTGCTTTCATCATTGGTTTTGATTTCCGGTCTCATCCCATTGTCTGTTGAGTCGTCCTCAGCCCAGACCCCAGCCTCCCACCCTCCCACCCTCCTCCGAGTCTGTAGTTTACCCGTCCATCTCCCCTCCCCCGTCCTCCCCGCTTGCTCTGGTCACAGCAGTGCTGTGGTCCACAGCGTGTGTCCCCTTAGTGGGGTTTCTGCTTTGTCTTCATGTCTCATTAAACGGTGTTTTTCCTCCATAGCAGTAAGTTCTAATTAGTGTATCACTATACAGTTACTCGCATAATATAGATGGATCGTACACTACATAACATGTGTAATTCATAAATGAGATGATCCTTACATAAAGAAATGATCCTCCAAGTGTAGAATTAATGGACTTTTGACACAGTATCCTTTCTGTGTTGGTGCTTGGATTTAAGCCTGTAAATCTCATCAGCTTTTGCATGGTTAATGTCTCTACTAGACTCTTTTACAAAGTATCTTCTATGGTTCATAATATGTAAAGACTCCACCTGCTATTATGCTAGCTTTCATTCTTACGTATTTTCACAGGGTACCTGCTTTAATAAATTTATTTTGAGAAGTTTTAAATCAAATTCTAGGTAAAGATTTTACATTAATGTCCAATAGGTGGTTAGATTTGTTCAGTGTTAAAATAGGTATTATGGTAACTTCCTCATCAGTTAAATTACTGTTTTAAAGTATAACGTGTTTTTTATTAAGAGAAATAAGTCATAGAGAAGTTTGGCTGAGAACAGACAGCTGTTAAGGCCCTTTGTTGTACAGAATGCTGTGCTTTATAAATCATGATGTTGTAATAGAATTGTATCTTCCTGAGTAATAATTTATAGTGCTTCTCTTGTAAATCTTGAATAGCTTATTTAACTTTTGAAGTCAAAAAAATGTTCTGTTTCCAGGTATACGTTCTCTGAATCTTAATCTCACTTATATGTTTGCCGGCATTTTTGCTTTACTGTATTTGCCTATACTGATTCTTGAATTTTTAGCTTCAAAGTCGCAATAAATCTGGTTTCTCTTCATTTCTTTGCATGCATCTATCAGCCTAGTGATTTAAGGAAACATCGTAGAAAGGTAAAATATTTAGTAATTTAGCATGCCTTTGTTTCTCTGTGAAGTATTAAAGAGTCCTTATTGTTTTACGTGAATGAACAAAATGTGGTTATGTACTGGTGAATAATTGATGTTTTAATGGAAGCGATAAAACTCACCCACCACTTAAAATATGCTGATGGTTCTGTTGGAAATAGGTCATTCATTGGGACAATGGTAACAGTTGGCCTTTCTCCCACTTGTTTGCCTTCTAATCATTTCATGCTTATTTATAATAGACATAGTATTATTTGTTATTTTTACTTACTTTTTTGGCCATGCCGCACAGTTTATGGGATCTTAGCTCCCCAGCCTGGGATCAGACCCGTGTCCTGGCAGTGAACGTGCCAAGTCCTAACTTCTGGACCACCATGGAATTTCCACTTAGTGTTTTTCTTAAAAGAAATGACTGAATCAGAGCCGTAGATGCTAGCTTTGGGGGAAGCCCATCTAATGACGGGGGCAGCAGTGTGCAGCAGCCTCTGTGCACCAGGCACCGTGTCGAGTGCGTCCCAAGTGTCATCTCATCCGGCGGACACCCAGGTGGGGTCCAGGCTGCTGTCGTCCCCATTCAGCAGACGTGAACACTGAGGCTGAGAGAGGCCGGGCCCCGTGCCCAGGCTCGCGCACCCAGCAGTGTGGTGCGGACTGGTCTGATCAGAGCCTGGACACTTAACCCTGCTGCTGTCCAGCCCACTTTCCTCCAGAGGCCCTCGTGTCCCTCACGGCATCCCTGATGAGGGAGCCTCAGGAGGGAGCTTGGGGCCTCCCCCTCGGGTCACTTGCATGGGCCCCTGTTGTTGGAGTCCAGTGCCCCGAGGGCTGGCCTTCTTCGTCCCTCTCCCACTCCCAGCCCACTGACCGAGCACTCCTGGGCCTTCCCACAGGTCTTGGGCAGCCGCACTCCAGTTCAGGCAGCTCAGTGCCCGGGAGCCCTTCTGCTGGGCACAGCGGAGCTGCTCCATCAGCCTGGGGCTGGTGGCTTGGGGCTGGTGGCCTGGGTGTGCCGCTCGCCGGCTCTGTGGCCTGCTGTGCCCTCCTGTTGAGTGAGGACACGGTCCTGCCCGTCCTAGTCCCGTGGGCACCAGGGGGGCGGGCTTCCCTCCTGGGGGAGGGCGGCCGGGCTGGGGACCCAGGGGCCTTCCTCAGGAGGCAGCCAGGGGAGCGCTGGCCATGGTCCTGACTCTGAGGCAGGTGTTTGTCTCCCTGAGTCCACAGTCAGCCCAGGCGTGTCACCTCCTCGCTCTGTTCTGTGTTGTTTTCTGGTTTTTATAAATGTTATTCTAACTTGAATTTAAGACTGATCCCTGTTCAGTTCCACGTTGACGATTTCTAGCCTTTGTAGCCTTCTGTTGTCTGAGGGTCGTCGCTAGAGGTCAGGGGAGGGTGCCACTGTTAAATGAGTTCAGCAGGATTTTGCATTAAGTCACTGTTGTCACCAAGCTGCGGTGGGACTGCAGTGGATCAGTATTCTTTACAGAATCCTATTAAAAAGGCACGGGTTAGTTGCTTAAAACAACACACTCGTTTATAAATATGCTTGCCATGACTGTTTCATAAAACTTCCCCTGGCTTAACCATACACCCAGATTTATAAGTGAGACCTGTCTGGACCCTGAAGGGGTTAATCTGTTCCCCACACTGTTGCTACCACCATCTTTCCTGTCCTCACACGCAGGACCAGCGGAAAAGCTGGGAGTCCAGGAGAGAGCATTTTTTTTTAATTAGTTTATTTTTTAATTGAAGGATAATTGCTTTATAGTATTTTGTTCTTTTCTGTCAAACCTCAACATGAATCAGCCATAAGGTACACATATATCCCCTCCCTTTTGAACCTCCCTCCCGTCTCCCTCCCCACCCCACCCTCTAGATGATACGAGATCATCTCTTGGTGAAGACCTAGGGGTGCTTTATATAAACCACAGTGAGCAAATTACACTCGAACTGGGTGTCAGCTCTGCAGTGTGTAGCCCCCAGTCTGTATGTTGCCGAGAAACACAAGCCAGACACGTGGTGTTCGCACGGAGGGGTTCTGGACCTTTTCTGTCTGTGTTTCAGTTGCTGTCATGGGCTCCGGTAACCTGCGGCATCACTAAAGATGACCTCGGGTGGTGGTACAGGCTGTGTCCTTTTCTCCTTCAAGCGGAAAGGTCTGGACGGCTTTGCTGAGAGGTTTCTTGCTCTTGCTAGTGGTCCATCTGAGCCTTGTCTGGTGATGAGCACGGTCCTCTTCACCCGGGCAGCTCATGCCGTGCAGGGCCTGTGGTGCCAGCGTGGCTCCGCTGTGCTGCCCCTCGGGGCCGTCCGCTCGCTGGATTCCAGGGAGGCTCGCCTCCGTCTCTGCACTCAGCCGGGGGCTCCCGCTGCCCCACGGCCCCGCTTTTCTTGAACAAGACGGTCCTTTAAGATGGCATTAAGCCAGCACAGGGCTTTCTTTTGTACTTGGCAGAAAGCATATCTAATAGATTTTCAAATAAGTTTCTGGTTATAATGTTAAAGTCTGTGTGATTGCTTTTTTAGACACAGTCCATTGTTACCAATTTTACACTTACCTCACTCCCTCAGCTGCCAGCTTCCCGGGAAGAGGTACGAGATGACAAGACCACCATCAAATGTGAAACCTCGCCCCCCGCCTCGCCGCGGTCCCTGCGGCTGGACCGACTGCACCCAGGGGCGCTGCACGCAGTCAGCCACGAGGACGTCAGGGACGCCCGCAAGTAAGCGGCCTGCGCGCGCGTCGTCAGGCTCAGGAGCCCCGCGCCCCTCGTGCTGAAAGAGCTGGAAGGATGGTTTTAAGGGAATCCCACTGGGTTCGGCGTCTCTGTTTAGTGGTGAACTTCAGGTGCTGGGGGGAAGAGCTCAGTGGCCTCCTGCTTTTAGAAAACCTCCGTCTCTGTGGATTGACTCCTGTGGGAGCTTTCTTCCTGCCCTTACCAGAGGTCTGCCCGGCCCAGGGCGGGTTCCTGACGGTGACGGCTCCATGCCTCGGGTTCGCTCTTGAGAGTCCCTCCCTTTTCCTCAAGGGTCTCCTCTCAGGAGACTCTGTGTCACCCCCTGAGATTGACAGTGTCCGCATTCAGACCACCGCCTGCGGAGCTCCCGGTCGCCCTGCGGGAGGCGGGGTGCACTCGCCTCCAGGATCCTCGTCACCCGCCGAGCGGTGACCCGAGGGAGCGTTGGGGCGCCCTCTGCCCCAGCGGGTCTTGAGTCGAGCCCTCCTCCTGGGGGAGCGCGAGTCAGGGCGTCTCAGCTTCCCAGGGTGGTCATCTGTGGCCGGGAGCCTGCGTTGCTCGTGTGGGTGTGGTTGGTGAAGGAGGCTCCGCTGTCTGCCGCGAGGCTGCGGCGCAGGTGCAGCTGGGAGGCCGGCCCCGTCAGTAGCCGTGTCGGGGTGTGGTCGCTCAAGGGCGCCGGTTAAAAGGCGCTTTCTCTCCCGAAGCTCGACCGGCTCTCAGGACGGGCCCGTGAGCAACCCGAGCAGCAGCAACAGCAGCCAGGACTCGCTGCACAAGGCCCCGAAGAAGAAGGGCATCAAGTCCTCCATCGGCCGCCTGTTTGGCAAGAAGGAGAAGGGCCGGCCCGGACACCCCGGCAAGGAGGCGCTGGGGCCCGGTGGGTGCCTCCCCGCGGGGAGGGGGAGGGCCGCGGCGAGTCCCCCGCCCTGTCCCCACGAGGCTCCTGTCCCTCACGCTGGCATCCTCCCGGGGCAGGAGCGGAGGAGGCGTCCGTCTTCTTGGTGGGTCCATCCGCCCCGCCTGATTCAGGGTCTCCCGAGTGGCTGGGCTGCCGCCCTGGAGCGCTTTCCCGTGTGGCGGCGTCTGGTCAGAAAGTTGGCCTCTAGAGCTCTCTGCGCTGTCCTCCGGCTGTTCACAGAAACGCCTGACTTGGCCCTGCCGGTTTCCTCTTCATGTCTCAACCACTCTGCTTCTTCCTAGCTGGTGTTTCAGAGACAGAAAACTCATCTCAGGATGCCCTCGGGCTCAGCAAATTGGGAGGACAAGCTGAAAAAAATCGGAAGCTTCAGAAAAAGTAAGCTTTTTGTTTCTTGTCAACCTCGCTGAACAGTTTTCAGTTGTTCCTGGTTTTGAACTGATGTTTACTGATTGAATGTGGCATCCTGCTCTGTATGTGTGTTATCTTCCGAACACTGAACCCAAAGCCTTCCTTAAACTGCACTTTCCAGAGGACCTAGAGCATCTGGGACTTGGGAAGGACTCACACACGGGCTTTGCGTCCGCTTGGGAGGCTGTCTGACGAGGATGGGTCGTGGTTCACGCCTGAATCCTGGCTCCTCACGAGTGTGCTCTGGGGCGTGGGGAAGCTCAGCTTTCCTGTGCCTCAGTTTTCCCGTCTGTGAGATGGGGATCATCGTAGTGTGTCCCTCGAGGGCTTTTACGAGCGTCTGCTGTGCAGATACACCTGTGTAGAAGTGATGAGGTGCCTTAAGCAGTGCCGGCCCCTGAAGAGTGGCGTGCCCGTGGCTGGGGGTGAGGGTGGCCCAGCGGGGACCCGCCGCCGGCTCTCGGGGGCGCTCGTGGCTGGGGGTGAGGGTGGCCCGGCGGGGACTTGCCGCCGGCTCTTGGGGGCACCCATGGCTGGGGCTGAGGGCGGCCTGGCGGGGACTCGCCACCAGCTCTTGGGTTTGCTCCTCATGCCCGCAGGCCGACAGGAAATAGTTGCTATGTTGCCCTTTTTTCCTCTCCTCTGATAGGTTCTGTATTTTTATCTTAAAAAGACTGTTTTGTAAGCTTACTGAGTTTTGATCCTGAGCTGTCGTGGCTCCAAAGGAGGCAGTAATGGGGGAGAGCTTCCTGCAAAGGAGCTGGGTGTGGTGGTGCCCCCGTGGCAGGCAGGGAGATCGCGTGAGCACGTGTCTCTGGGTGTAGACCGTGTTCGGACCCAGGACAGGTTGCGTGTCGGGCGGCACCTCCCTGACCAGAGCCCAGGAGGTGACCGAGCCTGTCCCAGTGAGCTGACAGGTGAGCGAGAGGCCTGAGCGCCTTGTAGCCTCAGATGAGCGCGAACCTGTGCGTCAGGAAGGTGATGGTAAGGTGGAAGTCCTGGCCTTGAGACGGAGACACCGGTGGGCTCTGTGGTCGGTCTGACAGCGGGCAGAGCCGCCTGGCTGCCGTCGGGCATCCTGAGAACCAGCGGCAGCCTGGAGCCCACGGGACCCCTCCACCAGAGGCCAGTTTGCCTTTAGCCCTGGAGTTGCCTGTTAGTCTTCTTTTGTGAAATGTGCCTCATTTTAGCTCTCTTCTCAGAAACCCCAGTTTCCTTGCCTGAATAATGTTGGTGAAGTACCGAATGAAATGTCCCTGTGGTTGCTCACGACACTGTAGGAAGGGACACTCAAGTCTCTGTTCCTGTAAGTGGAAATTTGAGGAAGCCACTTAACAGCAAAATCTGACATGAATGTTGCTGTGTTTGAACTGCATAAAAATGTTTTAAAATAACTTGGGGTCACTGCCACTTGGGTTTATGAAACTTAATATGCAGACTAGGCCTTTTGCCTCCTGGGCCCGCATGAGGAGAATTTGTCCTCTGGATTTTGCTGATGTGTTTTATTTCACATCCTCATATGTAACTATCACAGGAACGCTGAGTCTGTGGCCCTGCGGCCCGCCCACCGCTGCTCCCGAAAGCTCACGTTGCACGTGGGACCCGGCGTAGTGTCCGCTGGCCGGCAGGTGTTGCCGCATTTCATGCGCTCCCTTGCCGTTCTCAGGAGGTGTGCTCGAGCCCTCGGCAGTGTGAGGACAGAGCTCTGTTGGGCTGCTTCCCCAGCGTGTGGAGCAGGGCGTGTGTGTGGCAGGCAGGTCTCTCTGGAGCTGGGTGTCAGGGTGAGCGTCTCACTCTGCGCGTGTGCTGTATTGTCATGCGTGGCAAGTTCTGGGCTACTCTGCTGGCTTCAGAGCGAACAATTCAAAGTACAAAGGTTTTTCTGACCACAGCGGGTAATCTCAGCTCCGTCAGTCAACCCGAGACAACACTGACTTCAGGGAAAATGCCTTATCTACACATGTGAAAAAATATTCCAGTTTTCTAGAAAAAACATCACTTGAATATAGTTCAACGTTTATAGCATTATAGATGTGAGAATCAATTTGTTTCTCAAAACTACTTCTTTCTATTAAGCCCCAGTTTGTCTCAAAGGTATTCTTTTAATTGCTGAGTTTACACAGCCAGTGCATCCACTTTCAGAGAGCTTTTGAGGGTTGGTGAATCTCAGATTTCCACGTTCTGTGGAAACTCCCAGAGAGAGCACGGCGGGCACAGCAGGTGCTGGACGTGCTGCGAGGAGTGGGGGCCACGGCCGCCGGGATGGTCCGCGTCCCTGTGGGTCGCCGCGGCGTCCTGGGTGTGCGGGGACTCGCCCCCGGCCTCACGTGCCTCTGCTCTGACTGCTGTCTTTCCTCTTCCCCTTGGTAGACACTGTCGGGCGCCAGCTCGCAGGGGAAGCCGAGTCAGCAGGTCTGCTGGGCTATGTGTGTCCCAAAGCCTCCTCCAGGCTCTGAGCCGAGCAGCGCTGCAGGAGTGGGGGGCGGTATTGGTGAAGTGGAGCCCAGCGATCCCTCGTGGGAGGCGCTGGGCTGGGCGGACGGTCAGGCTCAGAAAACAGGGCCAAACCTGTTGTCCGGGTGGTGCCACGCATGTAGCGTTTGATGAGCAGAAGCTCACACAGCCATCTTCTTAAGAAAGACAGCTTGACCATGGTGCTCATATCCTGCTTTAAAGTGTCCATTGTCAAAAAATAAAATAAAAAATAAAGTGCCCATTGTCGTCCGCAGATGGCGAGGCTTTCTTTCCGACACATCTGTTCCCCATAGAATTCACCGTATTTCCGAAAGTCTTTCTCCTGTGACTCTAATTTTAAGGCAAGGAAGCAGGCCACGCCAGTTTACTGCTAAAGCGCGTGTTTTACTGAATTGCACTTGGGGCCTCGAGTTTGGCCCTCGAGGGGGCAGAGGCAGCCCCAGCTCAGTGGCCCGCCGTGCCGCCCGAGCGGGGCTGGCGCAGCGCTCCGCAGGGCAGGCGGCCCCCAGGCTCGCCTCTCAAGCCGGCTCTATGAAGCGAGGCTTCAGCTGAGAGTGAGCTGGTGACAGCAGGCGATGCAGTATCTTATAGCCAAGGAAGGAAATAAACCCCAGCAGAAGCCAGGCAAGTCTTCCGTTTGCTTCTGGATGGTGGTTGTGGTTGGAACATGAACTCCAAAGTGGTATATGCCTCGTTCCCCTGGGATATGGGAATTTTATAAGTTTGCCTTTTTAAAAAACTCTCCTTGAGCTATTAAGGGGCTTCCCTGGTAGCTCAGATGGTAAAGTGTCTGCCTGCAATGTGGGAAACCTGGGTTCGATCCCTGGGTCGGGAAGATCTCCTGAAGAAGGAAATGGTAACCCACTCCAGTACTCTTGCCTGGAAAATTCCATGGATGGAGGAGCCTGCTAGGCTGCAGTCCATGGGGTCGCAAAGAGTCAGACACGACTGAGCGAATTCACTTTCACTCTCACTTTTTGAGCTATTAAGATACATGTTCTGTTTTCTGGTATAATTACTCCTAGAAAATATAATATTTACTATTGTAGGAAACCTAAAGTTGACTTAAAGGAACAGTTACTTGAAATTTTATGTGAAATATTTCGAGCTTTAACCACACATAGACGTCACAGTCTTAAGTGAAGTCTGATGCTATGTGAGTATATTGAAAAGCCGCTTCAGGGGTGTATCTTCAGGGGATTCCCGAGCAGTCCAGTAGCTAGGACTCTGCACTTGCCCTTCAGGGGCCTGGGGTTTGATCTCTGGTTGGAGAACGAGGGTCCTCCAGGCCACATGGTGGCACAGCCAAAAAAGAGTAACCAGGGTCTTAATTTAGCACAGAGGCCATTAGCTGAACAGCGTTGTAGGAGAGAAACAGCCCTGTCCGCCCCTTTGCTAGCGTGCCGGGTTAGAGCGTCCTGTGTTGAAAGTCTGCGTTGCTCTGTGTGTGTCTGTTGTGAAATGGTCTGCGTCCCTGAAGCTTTCTCAGGCACAGGCTCCTCTGCTCAGACCCCGCTGTGGTTGCCTCTTCTACAGATCCGCCCTCCCTGTTTAGAGAGGGAAGAGTGGATATGTTTTTCCTTGCCTATCCTACCTTGGTTGTGCAGACTCCTGAATTCTTTAAGCTTGGCGGTAACTCCTTCATCCTGGAAGGAGGTGGTTCTGTAGGGAATTGCGGGGACTCCTTCAGCATTTCCTGACTCGGGTATTCTTTGTGATAGGTCTGAGCTGCCATTGAGTAGATGGTTTAGAAGATTAAAGGAGCTTGATGAGATACGTACTGTTTCACTTTTAAACATGTATGAAGGGAATAAATACTTAGGCTAACTTGTTTACATCCGTGTGTACCGGTGATTCTTGAATTTTGAATGTCTCATTATTTGCAGGCACGAGTTGCTCGAGGAAGCCCGGAGACAAGGCTTGCCTTTCGCACAGTGGGACGGGCCTACTGTTGTGGTCTGGCTGGAGGTGTGTGAGCGCCCCCCCGCCCCTGCCCCCACCCGCACCCCCGCCCTGGGCTGGTGTGTCGGTCCCTCTGAGCCACGCCTAACCTCCTGCCTCCTGTCCCCCGTCCCCAGCTCTGGGTCGGGATGCCGGCCTGGTACGTGGCTGCTTGCCGAGCCAACGTGAAGAGCGGCGCCATCATGTCCGCCCTGTCGGACACGGAGATCCAGCGTGAGATCGGCATCAGCAACCCGCTGCACCGGCTGAAGCTGCGGCTGGCCATCCAGGAGATCATGTCCCTGACCAGCCCCTCCGCCCCGCCCACGTCCAGAACGGTACGCCGCCCCGCTTCCGTAGGGAGCGTTCGCCCCCTGATTGTGTCGCTTCCGAGGTTCTCTCTACAGACATCCACTGTTCCAGCTTAAAGTTCTAGCGTTCCAAACCATGACAGCTTTTCATTTGCGGTAGTTGTGTTGTTAAAAGATGGATTATTGAATACTTCAGACTGTTTTTGTAGCAGCTGGGCTACAGTGGCATTGTAATAGAGAAATGGGAGTCTTTGAAAACATAAAAATGGGACTTTTTGAAAATGTGAAAATTGTAAAAAAGGAAGTTTTTGAAAATATATTTTAAAAAATGTAAATATAAATGTCAAGAAAGTGAAAGAGAAAAGGCTGAACCCGCGGGCTGCGTTATCTTCCCCTCATCTGACTTGTCCAGCCTGTCCGCTTTGGGAGGCGCAAATCCTGGGCTCTCGGGGGTTTAAGAGTCCGTACATCTGCCAGTTCACACCACGTCGTATCGTGCTTATCCACGTTTCCTCCACGGGGGAAGACCTTGGAAGTCCTGTAAGAGGGTCCTCCTAGTTGGAAAACTTAAAACGAATCTGGTGGAAACGTGGGTTGCTGCCAGGGGATGAGGGCCGGCCTGCTCCTCATTTCTCGAGTGCAGACTCAGGACACAGCTCAGTCCCCACGCTCGGTGTATCCACCCTGGAGAGGAGCCCTGGCGAGGAGACGCGGCCCCCCAGGCGCACCTGCCCTGAGGAGCAGGTGGGGCCTGTCTTCTGTGTCTCTAAGTGTGCGCGTGACGGTGGTGAGCTCACGCCGCACAGATGCGCCTGTTCTCAGCATACCAGCATACCCGCTCTGCTCTCTGAGCCCCGGAGGGTTCACCAGAGCCACCTCTTGAGAAATGAAGGCTCTGAGGGTTCCCCGGAGGTTCTATAAAGTGTCTCAGGAAAGGGAGCTTCTTAGGAGTTGAGTTAAATGGGTGGTGCCCTCACCGTGAGGAGCCTGCCTCCCATGGGACAGGGTCCAGGAGCCTGCTTGCCCCCCGGGGGCTCAGCTGTCTTGGCTGGTGATGCCGCGGAGTGCCGTTGCCGGGGCGGGGCCCCCGCAGCTTCCTCTGACAGAGAGAGACCCAGTCCCCGGCGGGCACCTTCTCAGGGCCGTCCCCCCAGAACCGAGAGCGGGCCGCTGAGCTCCCTCTGGGTGAGACCCTTTAAGCACGTCGCACTGGGCGTTCCTTGAGCGTTCCTCGCTTCTCTCAGACGTGGGCAGCGTGCTCTGTTCTCTCGCGGTCTCGCCTGGCTCAGGCGGTCAGCACGCAGACGAGGCGCTTGGGCCTCTCTCCGTGTGGCTGGGGAGCAGTGCTGGGGGGTGCTTCCAGGTGCCGGGGCCGACGCGGGGCGGTGGGGGGCCGGCCTCTGCCCCCGCCCGCATCTCCGGCCCCGGCTCACGTGTCTGCCACCTCTCCTCCCTGTCACTGCTGCCCTTGCCTGGATGTGGCCGGCCACGGGCCCCCCTAGACCACAGGAAATGTCTGGTTAACGCACGAGGAGATGGAGACGCTCACGGCCACGCCGCACACGGTCAGTCCCGGCCCCGCGCTCGTCTCCCTCCCCGCGCGGCCCCGGGTCAGGGCGGTGCCGTTCCTGGCCCTTTTGTGGAAAACAGAAATGTCATTTCATATTTAGTTGTTCTGGATAAGTATCTCTCTTAGGTATTAGTTAAATGTACAAACAGTCCGTATTTTGTCTTATGTTGTATTTGTTTCAGGAACTTTAAGTTCCTAGACTCACTCCCTGTAGAATAGACTCGATGCCTGTCTCCTTCCCGGGAGACCGCAGTTGACCCTGGGGCCTAGTGTTCTCTTTTTGGGGTGTGCCTGCCGGGGGCGGGGGGCTGCTCTTTGCACGAAGTGTTGGGTCGTGGCCCTCGCATGACTCTGCCTGCCGCTCTGCGCTGTGACCCCTGTCTCTCCGGGTGCAGTTGCCCTCCCCTGCAGAGTGAGCCTGCTCGTGTCCCCGCTCACCGGTACTAATGGTTCTGTTCTTTTGCATCCCTAACCACGTAACACCAGGAGGATGAGGAGGGAAGCTGGGCTCAGGTTGGAGACTTTCTATAATGTATTCTTCACTATATATACAGCAACAAAAAGAGTTGGAGGTTGAGAACTTGTAATTTACTTTCCTTGACGTTTTCAGCATCTTGATTTAGTCAGAATACTACTAATGGTTTGAAAGCATTAGCCATGCAAAGCACAGGATTAAAGAGTACGTCTCATGGACAACTTTGAACATTTCTGGCAGTTAATTCTCCTGGACATAAATCACTTTGTTTGACACAGGTTTTTTCCTGCAAAGCCCCGTGGCTTCGGCGGCTACTTGGGTGATGTATTTCAGTCCTGGTGGGGTAGCGTTAGTTATGAGATCAGCTAATGAGAAAATCATGTTTTAATAAATTTCCAACCGAAGAGTTGCCATAGAGACTCTGCCTCTGTCGGTATTTACTGGACTGTCCTAATCCTGTGTTCCAGAGTCCTTCCTACTGATGGAATTCTCGGAAGTTGAGCCCACTGCTGCTCAATGCACATGTTGAATTTTTAGTTCCCCAGTTCAACTCAAAAACAAAAGCTCTGTCACAACTGTTTTGCAACCTTGCTTTGAGACAGTTTGATTAAAAACAGTGATTTTCCTACCTGTGATCCCACAGACTTTGTTCTGTGACACCTGACAATTCAAAAGTCTACCAGGTGTGGGCAGGAGCTCGCCTGAGGGGCTCACTAGTGGCAATGCTGTGTATGGACGCTGAAAAGATACCTATGTAACCAAAAAAGCAAAGGAATTCTGAATCAGAGTGTTCCTGACTACAAACTGACAGTTGTAACACCCATTTCCCTCTATTTGTGCTTCTGAAGTAAAGCCAATTGTGTCACTTTTAACAGAAGAGGAAAGTAGCTTTAATATGATTCTGTGAATTCCCCCACCCCCTGACCTAGCTATTCTGTGCCACTGCTTCAGATAAATATCCTCATTGATTATTTAACCCAGTCAGTAATGACCATCAGTGAATTTAAAAGAGCGCATTTCACAACTACTTAAATATCAGTGTATTTTACAGTAAGAGGCAGAACTTTGCCTGCATCATGGAAATTAAACTGACATGTAAATTAAGCTGAGCTTTTGCTTTTTGCAATGGAAATACAAACAAGGATGAGCCATGCCAGTGACACCGGAATTGCTAAGTTTTGGTCTTCAGCGTACGCAAGGACCCCTTTCTGTGAAGCCGTCAAGGGCAGATGGGGTAGCCTGCGTCTCCCCTGTGCTGGCACACGGTGACCTGTTCCTGAGCCGAAGGGAAGTTTGAGATGGCCTCGGGCTCCCGGGAGGAAGACATCAAGGTGTGGTCAGAGCCTTCGATGTCTTAATTTAGCCAGTAGCATCTCCCAGGTGTCTGCATAGGACTGTGATACCCACTGGTGGTACTGGATTGAACAGGATCCATGCCATCACTCTCACCTTGTTCAGAGTTCAGAAAATTGATTTGTGTTTGTGACCATTTCAGTGATGGAAAAATAGACCCTACAGAGTCTCTTCTGCCCCAAATGTTCTCTGATCATGAGAGCGCCCTGTTGTGTGCTTTCTTCCCCCAGGCTGGGATGACAGCCCAGGAAATGTGGGTCTCCCTGGGGCTGAGCCTGATCCACCCAGGAACTTACATTATCGACCACTAAAGTGTGAATAGAGCATATAATGAGTGAACAAAAATGAGGAGATGTCTGCTTCCATGGAATTCTCTACTTAGAAATGTCTTTTCATTTTGTGTCTATTTAAAAAAACATAATCAGCAAGTAGGAAAATAATACCAGATATTCATGCTATAAATGTCAGGCCTATGAGATGAGAGTTGTAATTGAAAGAGTGAAAATGTGATATTGTGATGATGTCTAAAAATGTTTCGTGTTTTATTTCCACTCATGATTATTTATAGAAGTTTATTTTCTATTAGAAAGTCTTTTTTTTAATTATTATTAGAACTTGACTGTTCTTGTTGGAGTTTGAGTTATTCCTTCTAGCTTCGTTGGTGTAAATAATAGATTAGAGGCTGTATTTTTGAGACAGAACGTGGTGGTAGTCGAGAGGTGTTATTTCCAAGGATTCCATAGCGTAGAGAATTCCTCAGAACATAGCTTAGTCTTCTTGGACTGAAGAACATCAGGTGCCTTCTTTGGAATGAGTGTATACACATGTCACGTGTTTATTTTCATTGTGCAGACCTTGCACATGTTCCATTAGCTCTATCCCTGAGGATTTCATTGGTTTTGATGACATTATAATAAAGCATAGTCTTCAAATTTTCAATTTCCGGTTTATTTCTAGTATTTAGAAATACAGTGCATTCTCGTATGTTGACCTCGTACCCTGCAACTTTGCTGAAGTCACTTTCATGCTTGTAACTGTTTTGTCAGTTGGTTTTCCATGTTAATCATCAGGTCATCAGCAAATACGGTTGTATTGCCTTTTCAATCCATATGATTTCGATTTCTTTTTTGTGTCTTGTTACGGTGGCGAGGAGTTCCAGTACAGAGTTGGATAGAAGCCATGAGAGCATACATCCTTGCTTTCTTCCTGATCTTCGGAGGAAAGCACCATGTGATGTCAGCTCTGCATGTTTTGTAGATGCTGTTATGAGGTTGAGGCAGTTTTCTTCTGTTCCTAGATTGCTAAGATTTCCATATATCAATGATGACTATTGTCAGATGCCTTTTCTCTTATCTTTTGGGGTGATACTGTGATTTTTATTTTCAGCCCGTTGACGTGGTGAGTCTCACCGATTGTTTTCAAGCGTTGGCCCGACCCTCTGTTCCTGGGGTAAACCCTGCTTGTCACCACGCCTTGTGCTTGTGATGGATTATGACTCCCTGATGGGTCATTGAGGAACTCTGCGTCCTTGTCTGCGAGGACATGGGTGTTCCTGGAATGTTTGTCTTGTTCTTGGTATCAGGAGAGTTCTGGCCTCAGAATGAGTTAGATGTTCTTTCCTTCACTATTTTGGAATGGCTTGTGTAGAACTAGTATTTTCTGCATAAATGCTTGTTAGGATTCACTAGTAAAGCCACTTAGGGTAGAGATTTTGTACGTGTGGTTAAATAAGAAGATTTCTGACTACAAATTCGAGTTTTGATAGATGCAGGTTATCTGTTTCTCGCTGAATGGCTTTCAAAGGCTGTGTCTTAGGGTATTTTATCCAAGTTGCCTAAAGTTGTTCACAGTTTACCCCACGCTTTCCGTGTCTGTAGGATCTGTACTGTCGTCCCCTCTTTCATTCTGGATACTGGTGGTTTATGTCTTCTCTTTTTTTCTCAGATCACTGTGCTTTGTCAATTTTATTGATATTTATGAAGAACCTAATTTTAGTTTTTTCGTTTCATTTTGTTTCTCTGGTTCCTGTTTCATTTATTTTTGCCCTTTCATTTTCTTCTTTCTGCTTGCTGTGGATTTCATTTATTTTTTCTTATAAGTTTTTTAAGATAGAGTCTTAGATTATTGATTTACAATCTCTACATTTGTGTAAGTATTTAATATTATCAGTTTCCCTCCAGGTACTGATTTAGCTGTGTCCTGTAGCTTTTTAGTATATTGTATATTCACTTTTATTCACTTCAAAATATTTCCCACTTCACTTGTGATTCCTTCTTTGACACATGAATTATTTAGAAATATGCTAATTTCCTGATGTTTGGGAGATTCCTGGATATCAGTGTCTTTTTAATTTCTAATTTAATTCTGTTGAGATCAGAAAACATACTTTGTATGATTTTAGTCACTCTAAGTATGCTGAGATTTGTCTGTCTTTTGAAGAGTGTTCCATATCCCCTTGAAAAGACTGTTATCACGCTGCTGTTGGAGGGAGAATTCTGTAGAACGTCAGTCAGGCCAAGTTGGCTGACAGTGCTGTCTAAGAGGGCTTCCCTGCTGGCTCAGATGGCAGTGTGGGAGGCCTGGGTTTGATCCCTGGGCTGGGAAGATCCCCTGGAGGAGGGCATGGCAACCCACTCCAGTGTTCTTGCTGGAGAATTGTTTAAAGGCTTCTACATCCTTCCTGATCTTGGTTGGTTGTCTGTTTTGGCTTCCTTGTTCAGTCAGTTACTGAGTAACTCAGAGGAAGATTGAGGTCCCTGACTGTAACTGTGGGTCTGTCTTTTTCTTCTTTCAGTCCATTTAGTTATTGTTTTCCTTATCTCTTTTTTTAAAACCTGTTTTTCATTTCACTTAACTATGAAATTAGCAGATGTTTTGCTAAAGAAATTTAGAAAACAAAATGTTGAAAATAAAATTAAAGCCAGCCAGAGATACTTTTAGAGAGTAGAGTTATGTTGATCCTTCAAACTTGTTCATGAGTCGTGGCTATTCTTTGTTGATATATTATTATATATAAAAGCTATTTCAAAAAATTAATGTGTAGTCAGTTACAGTTTTATCATGGTTTGGCAAATAGGTTAAATTTATTAATACAGATGAGTCATAGACTTTTAATGGTATAATTTTTTTGTATAAAACTTTGCCAGCAAATTTAAAAGGTAGCAAATAAAAGATCAAATTATTTTGAAGTTATGAACAACAATGTTGTCTTTAGCTTAGCCTTTGAGAATATGTAATTGGTTAAAAATCCATTTTAAAGATGGTTTAAATGGCTCTTGTGACTGCTTCCATGGGTTTTGTTCCTGAATTGACCATCCTTAATTATTGAAAGCAGACCCTCGCGTACGGGGACATGAACCACGAGTGGATCGGCAACGAGTGGCTGCCCAGCCTGGGGCTCCCACAGTACCGCAGCTATTTCATGGAGTGCCTTGTGGACGCGCGGATGCTGGACCACTTGACCAAGAAAGACCTTCGTGGGCAACTGAAAATGGTTGATAGTTTTCACAGGTCAGTCCCTGCAAGTCGTTCTTACTAGTTGGCTGAGAGATGTTTGCCTGTGGCCAGGTCTAAATTTTTTCTTTTTTTCTTGGAAACAGAAACAGTTTCCAGTGTGGAATTATGTGCCTGCGAAGGTTGAATTATGACCGAAAAGAACTGGAGAGGAGAAGAGAAGAGAGCCAGAATGAACTGAAAGGCTAGTACAGTCCTACTTCTCGCTTCCCAGTGTGTAAGCAGCTCAGTGGTTTCCTACTGGAAAGAAAGATTCAGGAAATGCTTTCTGTGGAGAAAACACACCTCGAATCCTTACAGAGTGGGGGATGGAAGGGAGTGTGTTTGAGATCGTCCTCCGTGGCCCGAGAGCTTGGGCTCTGTCCTTGGGCTCACGTCGGCCTGCAGGTCGTGTGTCTTGAGGTGAGAGCATTTCCCACGACTCCCCTCGCTGTGCCGTGTGTCCTGTTCGCACAAATGCTGCCGCACGCTACAGGTAACTCCGGAGCCAAGGAGAGCACGGCCTGCTCTGCACGCTCTAAGTGGGAAGGACACTGCTCTGGCCTCGTCAGAGGACTCGAGGAGGCAGCGTGGTCCTCTGCCCAGGCCAAGGGAGTGGCCTTGAAGCTGGATGGGAGCGTCTCAGCTGGGGAGGGAGGGGCGGAGGCATTTCAGCTACACGGCAGGTGGGGAGGCCGGAGGGGACACGGGCTGTCCATGCAGGGTCTCCCTGGAGGGGTGCCTCTAAGCGCCTGAGTGCAGTGGAGCGATTTTAAATAAAGTGTTAGCTGGAGGACTTCCCTGGTGGTCCAGTGGGTTAGAATCATCCGCCTGCTAATGCAGGGGACATCAGTTCGATCCCTGGTCTGGGAAGATCCCATCCGCCACGAGGCAGATAAGCCCGCATGCCCGCGACCTGGACTCCACAACAAGGGAAACCGTCGCAATGCAAAGCCGCCCATGATGACTGGAGAAAGTCTGCACACAGCACCAAAGACCCATCACAGCCAAAAATGAATAAAATAAATTTTCAATAAGGATATTAGCCATTAAGCTCAGTGTAAGACCTCCCAGAATGTTCAGAAAATAGATCATTGATAACAGTAACAATAACAGGACCTACTGAACGAATCCAGGTACCTTCATAGTTTCCTTCATTTAATCCTTACTGTAGCCCTGTGCCTGTAAGTGCTGTTTTCATCTCCAGTTTTTACTAAGAAGGAAATTTTAAAAAATGGTTGGAAAGATGGCCCATTTGAAGGGTTGTCTAGCTGTGATTGAGTTCATTTGAATCATGAAAAAACCAGGAGCCAACATTTACGCAGACAAGGGCATTGGAAGTGAAAGCTGTGCGTCTGTCTCGTTTGTTTTCTGAATCCATTCTGAACCTTTTTACACTTGACACACGCTGTCTTTGAAAGTCATTGGTGATCAGCTGGATATATTTTTAGCACTCTACTAGAGAAAATTTTGTAACTTATTACTTAACTAAGATCTTCCCCCCACACACAGATCTCTAATATACTGGACAATATCTTTACGTTTCTCTCTTTTTAAAATGAGACAACAAAAATGACTTGAAGAAAAAAGGCTTCAAGATTATAAATGAGAGGTTTATGTTGAATTGAGCAAGGTGTCCAGATATGGTACTGAGTCCTTTTTGTGATGGGAAAAAAGTACATCAACAAACATTCAAAAAAAAAAAAAGACACTCAAGTCTGTGTCTGAAACATGTTCCTGCCTGGTGTGCGTTCACGTTCTTGTGTGTGCTTTCCTTTCTGATACCTGGATCCTCATTCTCTGTTCCCTGGAAATGCACATGATTGCTTCATCTCTCTGGGACTCGCTTGAGGAATGAGTTCTAGTGGGACAGTCTCCGGTAGGATGGAGAGGGGCCGGGACGTCAGTGTCCAAGCACAGCAGGTTGGCTGCCTGCGGAGCCGTGCCCCCGGCCCTTGGGGGGTCCTGGCTTTCGTCAGGAGCTGAGGGTCAGCATCACGTAGGACTCCTTTGCCGCGGCTGCAGGTGCACGAGGGGAAAACAGCTTTCTGAGGCTCCTTTCCAAATTTGTTCCCTGCAGACGTGCTGGTTTGGAGCAACGACCGAGTGATCCACTGGATCCTCTCCATTGGCCTCAAGGAATACGCGAACAACCTTGTCGAGAGCGGCGTGCACGGGGCGCTGCTGGCCTTGGACGAGACGTTTGACTTCAATGCGCTGGCCCTCTTGTTACAGATCCCCACGCAGAACACACAGGTGCGACCAGCCGCACTCGGGCCCAGCAAGCAGGCTGTCTCCCGGTGCAGATGCACAGCTGGCTCCCCAAACGGAGACCAAACCTGACCCCTCAGACAGCTGGTCCCCTTGTTGCTCACCAAGTCCCTCACGGGATAGTCCACAGTCAGAGACGCTTCATGCCTCGTGTTCGTGCCTGCCCACTTTTCATTCTCTGTCGGAAGCACGAGAGTCTTTCATAAAACAGGGGGAGCTTTCCTTCACGGCGGTGTGCTGTGAGAGTGACATGTACTTAGTTCTCGGTGGACAGACATGACTCTGTGTGTGCCACATGAAGGCTTTATTAATCCTGCTTCCAAGGGAAATTGCCCTGTGTGCTTCTGTTTGACTCGTGGGCTCACTTGAGAATGGGGGGACTTTTTTGTTCTTCTTCAGAAGGCTGTGTATCTTGTGTCAGCACCGTGATCTCTCCACCAGCCCACAGGGCACACTTTGCCTGTAATTTCCAAGAGACCCCGGCTCCCTCTTCTCATCACCCCCTCCGTAGACACTGCGTTAAACCCCTGACTTCAAACAATGTCACAGTTGAATTTTTTTTTAAAGTCTTGGTTTAAAAAACAGTTGTGATGTGCTGATGTTCAAATGAGATTGTTGAAAGTTTTAGGGTAAGTGCTGTTTCTTTATCATTTCAGGCTCGTGCTGTCTTGGAAAGAGAGTTTAACAACCTCTTGGTCATGGGAACCGACAGAAGGTTTGATGAAGTAAGTTTTCAGCTTGATCTTCCAAGTTGCCTTAGTGTAGACTACTCTGTCGCACTTGTGTGAACCATGTGGCCATGGTGTCTCTTCTGAAGGTGGGCGTAGTTAACCTCACAAGTCAGGCTTTGCTCCCAAACGTTTGTTAACAGGTGAGTCACTTAGAAACTAGTGTCTTCAGTAAGATGAGACAGTGGGTTAGTTTCTGTTTTGGGATTTTTGTGGGTTTTTTTACTATTTAAGTTTTAGTACCTCTCAAAAATGTTTTTTATCTTAAAACATTGGTTTCCACTTAAGAATGGTGTCTGTGAGTTGTGTTTCGGGGAGCAACTGGATGGCCTTATTCTCTTCCAGGGCCCGTGTGCTAAGGGGCTATTTCATTAAGTGTATTGAAAACAATTAATTTCTCCCGACACACAACCGTGGCTCGCTCACTCCCATACTGTAGTTCTTCTCTTCATTGGACCTTAAGGAGACTTGAGTTTGACACGGAGAATTGGACACCTGAGAAGCATCCATTGGCTCTGTCCCAGAGTGAGACAGAAGTGGTTATAGCTTGAAAATGTTTCCATGGCCAATGACAGTGTGTTGTAACATACAGCAAGAGGCGATTTCTCTAAGATGAGAGGTGAAATGTGCTGACTGTCAGGAGGGACGTCCACCCGGGTGGTCCAGTCGGGGTCCTGGCACGCGTGTTACATGTGTTAGCTGTTATGTGTGCCACGCTCCTCTGTCCCCAGTTTGGGCAAGGCAGTCACATGGTCATCACAAACGGGGTCCAGTACACATGGACAGAAGTGCAGTAGCAAACTCAGCCATTTTAAAGGGCTGGCAGCTTTTTGTTTTTGTCCTTTGTTTCTAAAATCTGTCTTGTTTTCTGTCCTGTAGTTTCCAAGGACGATGATAAAAGCTTTAGGAGAGCACCTTCTTGGAGGAAGAAATTCAGACCAAAGGATGTCCGTGGCTTAGCTGCCGGGTCCGCAGAGACTCTGCCTGCGAACTTCCGGGTCCCTTCCTCTCTGTCCTCGCCCTCGGTGCAGCCAAAGAAGATGCAGCTGGACGGTAGGTGGCAGGTCGGGCGGCGGGCGCGGCCCGGGCCAGAATGCTGACAAGCTGGAGGGGCCTGCTTCCCAGGTTACGGGGCTGTTCAGTGCCGTTGCATGCCCGAGGGTCAGTGTTCTCCAGTGAATCCTAACATCTGTTTATAAATGTTTAACAGTCATGCTTTTTTTTCCCAAGTTCTTGTCTGGTTGAATATTAGCATATTCTTGCAACTAATAAAACTAAGGCTCGTGTATGTTCTCAGAGCATTAGATTGACACCCGTGCTTGTAAAGATGTGTGTGTGGCCAGCAGCGCTCAAGAGCTCTTTCACAGAACAGCAGGGCCGCTCTCAGGCCACACCGGTCACCCCTCAAGACTCTCTGCGTTGGGAGGGTGGCCGAGTCCCTGTGAGCGACAGCAGCGTCCCCCTTCCCGTCCTCCCCCCGTCCCCACCGTCGCCAGCCCCTTGCACACTGTCAGTCTATGGGGCGGAGGAAGAAGGTGAGGCCGACAGAGGTCCTCCCCCGAGTTCGGCCGGGCCGCAAATACACCGGCCTTGCAGTTGTCCTTTCAAACCCAGCTCTGGTTTTTCCTCCGACAGCCTCTCTGCCGTAGAACGCCACTAGTTCAGGCCAGGTGCTCAGGGCCGCAGTGTCCCCACTTGATGGCCAGATAGACGGCCAGACAGCCTGGGCCGGGGTCAGGCTCTGTGGCTCAGGAGGTGCCCTGTGCACACCTCCCCCCGCCCTGGCCAGTGTCCCGTCTGTGACAGGGGCAACTCAGCGGCTCCTTCCCCCCCGGCTGGCTGTGCCGGCCACACTGGGGGATCCCAGAGGGAGTGTGCGTTCACCCCCTGGGAGCGGGCCCGGAGGGTCTCTATGGTGCCCTTTTTTTCCCTGTTATCAGCTCTTCCCATGAGTAGATTTGTAAGCTTTGCTCTCGCTTGCTCTCACAGAGCAAAGTACATTTATGTAAAGCCTTTGCTAAGCTGTGCGCTTTCGGTGAGCGGCCTTACAGGGAAGCAGCATCATCTCTTCACCAGAACTCAATATTACACTTAAGCATGGGTGGGGGAGACCCAGTGACTCTCTCCTTTTTTAAACAGCATTTTTCTTCCAAGGAGCATGCAGCTCATTTTTACAAATCTTAACTGTAGCTTAGTTTTCAGTTGATTGAAGAGTGTAAGTGCTTGCTTTTTTATTTTCCATACTTCTCATGATAAATCCAGCATTTCCCCAGCAGATGCACATAGTGCCGTTGACATTAGAGTTTAGATAAATTAGAAACAAGCCTAGAAAGAGGTGTCGGGAATATAACAGACCTCGTGAGATAGGCAGGGCGTAAACTGTGTAACTGGGTGGTTTCCGCAGCTTTTGCAGTTGCCGTGCAGCAGGTCTTGGGGGCTCTCAGACTCAGAAGGGTTCAGACCGGTGAGCTGCTCCATCAGCAGCTCCCAGTCTTCAGCCCTCTCTGGAGCCCTGGCCAGAGACTCAGCAGATATGCTCCTACTGGGCCCAGGGGAAGATGGAAAATGTTGAATTGGGAGTAGCGGGTTTCTGCTAGGGGGTTATGGAGATTTCTTATTCAACTTGGAGCAGAGGTGGGGGCTGAACCAACGTCAGTGGTGCCATTTCCGAGGGCGGCTGAGCCTGAGTTTCCCCTTTCTTAGATCAGCCCCGTCCTCCGCCCTCCCTGACGCCGCCTGGGGAGAGCGGCCCGGTCCCCAGGACAGCAGAGCGTGGGGCCTCAGGCTCGCTCTCTCCGGCCCGTCCACCCTGTAGAAGCTCCCCAGACCGTCAGTAGGAGTGGGCGCTGCTGCAGGTGTGAGTGTGTGTGTCCTCGAGCCCCATGTGACGTTCCATGACTAACCGCACGCTGTGTTTGCACGCTTCCTCCTGTGCTCGTGGGACCAGGCAGCGTGGCGGGAACGCAGAGGCTGGATTCCGCCACAGTCAGGACTTACTCCTGCTGAGCTCCCGGGTGAGTACAGGGCGGCCTGGCCCGAGGGGGCGAGGGCCTCGCCCTGCGAGTGGAGGGTCCGCGGGTCTCTGGAGGTCGGCCCGGGAGAGCCCTCGGCGGCAGAGAACGTGACTGGCGCCCAGCTGCCGCCGCAGTGGTCAGAGCAGGCCCGAGTCTCCCGCGGTCCCGAGCGCGGGTGTCCCTCCCACCACGGCAGTGCTGCCGGCCATGACCCGCGTGCCCGCTCTCGGAGGGAACAGGGCCCAGAGCGTCGGGGTTCACGAGGCTGCCCCGCCCTGGCCTCTCGTTTGGAGGCCAGCGTTTCACACGGAGGTGCACCAGCATCTGGGGCTCGGCCGCCACTGAGGGGCCGCCCTCCCTTGCAGGCGCTGCTCTGGGTGGTCCCCTGGGGGGTCCGGCCCGGGAGCCTGGCCCTGCTGGAGCCGCTCTGAGGGCAGGAGGCTGTCTGCTCTGTCCTGTTCACGTCTCCGCTAGAAATCTGGATTGGGGTTTATTTTTTTTTAGCAGCAGCTTTTAGCTATATGTGAGAATAAAGTCAGCCACGGAGTTCTCTCCTTGATCTGCTTGGTCCTTCATGTTTCTCTGAATTCTCAAAGCCCCGGAAGCCCAGAATGGGGTGGGGGTGTCTGAGGGGCAGGGCTCGGGCAGCAGCCGCCGCCCCAGGACTGACGCGTCTGCGTGTTTCTTTCCAGTTTACCCGCACTACTTCTACAGGTGATTATACAGCATCCAGAATACGGCAAAGACGGCATTCTGAACTCGATGGAATCTTTAATCTGTTAATACTTGTTATATGGACCCTAAGATATTTTATTACAGAGTTTTTAATTAGTGAAAAATTCATGAATACCATAGAGAAAATATTTTAGAATTTAATGTTTCTTATATTTATGTAAACTTATGACTTCATTTATATAGTTACTTACTTTTTCTTGTATATCCAGGCTATAAATATCCTTTCAGATCAATTCATGTTCTGATACCTGATTTTAGTCTTTCAAATGAATGTACTGTAATGCTTGTATGTATAAATCCTATGAACAAATATAGGGCTTTTGTAAATGATGCATTTATTGTAATTATTCTTGTTTAATTTTTAAATGATAAACCATGAGAGAAGGGGTTTTACTGCGATTGTAAAATCATCATGACACAGTGTGCATTATCCTTCCAGAATGTAACCAAGCTCTCCAACAATCACTCTGAAATGAGCAAACTTAATTTCAACCAATTGTTGTATTTTAACGACTGACCTAAACTGTACTTTTTCTAGCAGGAAATGCTTTCTCTCTGCAGAGTGAAGCGATTTAAAAGTACTGGGTGTTAAATGTGAGCTTCTAGTGAAATCTGGGCTGAAAGGATGACTAGAAGACTATGAAAATCTCTCCCGTAACCTGGTCTCCATGACCCGGATCCCTCGTCTCGGGTGACTGGCAGAAGCCACGAGCTGGGGAAGAGAGACTTGACGGGGGTGGAGGGGGTGGGGCCTGGGCACCCACAGCCCACTGTGCCCGCCGCCGTCCCTGCCCTCCTCCTGGGAGGCAGGGTCAAGGGCGCCGACTCTTCGAGGACCAATCACGATGCCCTGCACCCGCTGAGGAGCCAGAGTGCTGGCTGTGAAGGCGCCACACCCCGACAGACAGCATGGTGCAGCTCTGACAAAGGCCTTATTTTTCTTATGTAAATCATCTTTTTACATCTGTTTGTAAACATGTTTAAAGAATGGACCTAGGCGTACATTTTTAGATTTTGATGACATAGCCATTTTGGATTGTATAAGTGGCAAATGTAACTTTTACTTTTTCAGCGGCACATTAAAAAAGCCAGCAACAGATGCGTTCAGATCATGGTGCGTTATTTATTATGCAGCTGATATCTCGGTAGACAAGAGACGGCATGTCTCTTTCTATGTGGGTCCCGCCTTTAATTTACTTGTACAATTCATTGTTACTGTTCTGTTTTTCTATTAATCTTTTGTGAACTTCCTGAATATGTAACAAAGTATGTACAGTCTACTTTTGAACTATTTTTATCACAGTATTATTTATTGCTTTCTTTCAATAAAGTACTGAAGCAAAATTTCCCACTGCCGATCAGGAGTGCCGAGGGTAAGCTGTACTCTCACTGAGAACAGACCAGAGCTGGTAATGGGAGCCCGTGTCATCACATGGACACTCTGGTAAGAGAAACGCATGGAGAGAATGGAAAGGCTAGAAGGCAGAAACATAGGTGTCCCCAAGGGACGACTGATCCGGTATTGACGCCCCTGGATGCCCCTGGCTCCGGAGACAAGAGGCTCCATCACTTCAGCATCTGCGGGGACAGGGCCTCTCTGCTGCTGAGGCGAGGGCAGCAGGCCGAGGCTGGGAACACAGTGCAGGCATGAAGGCTCACCATGGGTCCCAGGGCAGGTGGCCCGGATGACGCACTAGGGAGTGTGCCCGCACATGCTTGCGTGTGGGCGCTTTTCATGTTATTTTAGTCAACAGTCTTTATTATACACATATCCATAGAAACAAGAGTGTAGCAAGGGGAGGTGGGCGGGAGATCCAAGAGGGAGGGGACACATGTACACCCATGGCTAATTCGTGTTGAGATATGGCAGAAATCAAACCAATATTGTAAAACAATTATCCTCCAGTTAAAAAGAAAATAGCAAGGTGTTCGGGAAAGTATGAAAAAAAAATTTCTCCTAGAGATTTATAATCACAACTCTGTACACCTGGGAACAGGCTGCCCACTATCAATCAGACCTTCCCCCCAGCATCAGACCTTCCTCCCAGCATCAGGCCGTCCCCCTAGTCCAGCATCAGATGTCCCCCCCGACCATCAGGCCCTAGTCCAGCATCAGACCTTCCTCCCAGCATCAGGCCCTAGTGCAGCATCAGACCTTGCCCTCAGCATCAGGCCCTAGTCCAGTATCAGACCCTCGTCCAGCATCAGGCCCTGGTCCAGAATCAGGCCCTAGTCCAGTATCAGACCCTCGTCCAGCATCAGGCCGCCCCACCCAGCATGAGCTGTGGCAGCCCCACTTGCCTGTCGCTCCGGAGCGCACTCACGCAGCCCCAGAGCAGCAGGAACAGTAGCTCTTGCAGGAGATGCATCTTTAGGAATCACCTGCGGAGCAGCCGCAGCTGGGGTCTGTTTCAGGCCAAGGAGAGGCAAAGAAGGGGCACCTGTGCCAGAGGCAGCGGGGGGTGTGGGCACGTTGCCCTGCTCTGCTTCCTCCCCGTGGGGGCTCTGCTCTCCTGCTCTTCACACAGGGCTGTGTCCTTCCAGATTCACGGTCTCCTTGATATCTCAAGCCAAGTCCCGAGTCGTGTCTCAGTCCGACGTGGCAGAGGGCTGGGAACACCCAAGCTCAAGGCTGAAAGGATCCCAGGGGGACAGCTGGGCCCCAGCGGGTGGCAGGGCAGGGGACGAGGGTGGCCGCCCACAGAGGGCCCCGCAGCAGCACTTGGAGCAGCGTTGCCTTTGCTCACCCAGGACGTTGCCCGGCCTCAGCCCTCAGAGAGGTTACCGCCAGGAGCTCTGGGGACGCAGGAAGCCCACTTGGGCTGTGTGTGTGGGCACTGCTGACCATGGCCTCGGTTTTCTTCCCGGTTCCAACTACCCCCCAAGGGCTGACGGGCTCCCCTTTTGAATGGCATATCGTGCTTGCTTTATGCGAGTGAACGCATCCCTGCTCGTTTCTGTTGGCGCTGTTGTCGGTCGTCGTGGTTTCCCTCTTCACAAGCTGTGCTTGCTGATCTTCCAGTTTAACTTAGGAGCAGCCCTTATTTTCTGCATTTCTTAGTTCTCAGGGTTCGCAGGGGCTTTCCAGGTGGCGCTAGTGGTAAATATCCTGCCTGCCAATGCAGGAGATAAAGAGACACGTGGGTTCGATCCTCGAGTTGAGAAGATGCCCTGGAGGAGGGCATGGCAACCCACTCCAGTATTCTTGCCTGGAGAATCCCATGGACAGAGGATCTAGTGGGCTACAGTCTCTGGGGTCGCAAAGCGTCTGACAAGAGTCTGATTGAAGCAAGTTAGCACACACACAAGTTTCAGTTCAGTCACTCAGTTGTGTCCGACTCTGCCACCCCATGGACTGCACTATTCCAGGCTTTCCTGTCCTTCACTATCTCCTGGAGTTTGCTTAAACTCATGTCCTTTGAATCAGAGATGCCATAGAACCATCTCATCCTCTGTCGTCCCCTTTTCCCCCTGCCCTCAGTCTTTTCCAGCATGAGGGTGTTTTCCAATAAGTCAGTTCTTTGCATTCCCATATATTTGCTATAAAGTGATGGGACCAGATGCCATGATCTTAGTTTTTTGAATGTTGAGTTTAAAGCCAGCTCTTCCACTCTCCTCTTTTACCTTCATCAAGAGGCTCTTCCTCTTCGCTTTTTGCCTTAAGGGTGGTGTCATCTGCATATCTGAGGTTATTGATATTTCTCCCATATCTTGATTCCAGCTTGAGCTTCATCCAGTCCGTCATTTCTCATGATGTACCACATGTAAGTTAAACAAGCAGGGTGACGACATACAACCTTGTCGCACTACTTTCCCAATTTGAACCAGTCTGTTTTTCCATGTCCAGTTCTGTTGCTTCTTGACCCACATACAAGAAGTTTCTCAGGAGGCAGGTAAGGTGATCTGGGATTCCCATCTCTTTAAGAATTTAGAGAATTTAAATTTCATGCAGGGTTAGCAAGTGTGAAATTTGAAACCATGGAGTGTCCTTCTCATCTAACATTTCCCTTTTTGCCTGGCCAAAGCCAAGAAAGCCTTGAGTATCTGAAAGCTTCTGGAAACAGTCATCCATGATTCATAAGCTGCAGGTGTTTTATGACAACTCGATTCACTGATTCCACTTATGCCTTAAAAAAATACCAATTGAGAAATTCTAAAAGAAAGCAGGAGATGTTACTGTAGATTCGCGTTTCTAAGAATGCTCGTTAGCCATGTATCTTCTCCTCTCACGGCCAGTCCCAGGACTTGCCCACCACGGAGAAGGGAGGACACTCACACCGTGGTCCAGGTGTGGTCCCGTTAAAAAACTTCTCACCATTAAACACTATGCTAGGCTGCTGTATCCTGGTAAGTGCTGCCTGTAAGTTTCTCTAAATTTCACATCATGCGTTTTTGAGCTCTGTTATTTCTTTAGTTGCCAAGTCGTGTCTGACTCTTTGCGACCCCATGGACTATAGCCCGCCAGGCTCCCCTATCCTTCTCCAGGCAAGAATATTTGAGTGGGTTGCCATTTCCTGCTCCAGTGAACCTTCCCAACACAGGGATGGAACTTGAGTCTCCTGCATTGGCAGGCGGATTCTTGACCGCTGAGTCACCAGGGAAGCCCGTGTTTGAGGTCACTGTGGTTTTGGTTTTTGATCTTTGCCTCTCGCTAAGTCCTCACCTCCCCCAGGATGTGTGTTCCCTGTAATCTTGGCAGGCAGGTAGGTGTGGGTCCACAGCTACTGTCTGACCACCCCACACGCCCTTCAGTACGTTTCTGAATGTCTCAAACCCTCTTGTCTCTTACACGTCCTTGACTTCATCCCTTGGTGAGAATGAGTAGCCGGTGACTTTGCTGTTTCCTGTCCTGACCTCAGCGGGGCACCTTTTCAAGACCTGTGGTCCAGGCCAGCGCTGTGTGCAGCCCGATGTGCAGTGTGCACACGCAGTGGGGAAGGAAGCAGGGCCCGGTCCTGGCGGAGGTTCGAGGGGAGAATCTATTCTCTCTTCTTCCAGCGTTTCCTCTCCTCTGATCTGTCTTCACGTGGCCTCTCCCCTGCATGTCTTATCTTCTGTCTCTTATACGAAGACTTGTCTTTGGCCCACCCCAGTAATCCCAGACCACCTCATCCCAAGAGCCTTCTCTTCATTCCGTCTCAAAGATCACTTTTCCAAATTAATGCACATCCACAGGTTCCAGAGATTTGCACCTCGAGGTGTGTTTGTGGGGCTACCACCATGTGAAATTCTGGAGGGGACCCTGCCCCAGAGATCCTGGGATGGCTAGGACTGGCCCCTCCCAGGGACCCCCCTCTGGTGGGAACGGGGACTCATCCCGTGAAGGGCGCTGTGAGAGCAGGGCCGGGCTGGGACGCGAGGGGAAGGAGCTTCCAGAACACTCGCGCTGGGACGACGCGGTGGGTGCGGCCAAAGAACGCGGAAGTACTCTAAAATCAACAAAATGACCCTTTGCATGCCTACAGGTTTGACTGGTAGGAGAGCTAATCCTTCAGCTTGAGTGTGCAGAGCCGCACAAGCTGCAGAGGGAGACGGGGCGCTCTGCTCTTTGATAAGGTGGTTTGGAGCCTCCCCCGGCGGTCCAGGAGTTCGGACTCTTGTGCCTTCACGTCTGAGGCTGGGGTTCAACCCCCTGGTCTGGGAGCTAAGGTTCTACCGCCTGTGTGGCCCAGCCAAAAATGTTACAAAACAAATCAGATGAAAAATAGAATAAAATGATTTCCACAAGCCCTGTGGCACAGAGAAAAATTTTTTTAATGAAATGTTATTTTAAAATGAAAACGATATAACTGAGGGATTGCAGTATTACACAACCTATAGGGCCTAAGAGATTTTAGTCATCAATTCTCCAACCCCTTATCTTCTTGTTAATGTTTTATTTAATCAAAGTAATAGCATGTACATCACTTAAAGTAAAACACCAATGACCCCACTCTCTTACTTCTGCTTTTCTGGTCTGTGTGCAACTGGGTTAACTATTTCCGCTGCTTGCTTCCTTACCCCTAAATAATTTGTGCTTAACATGGCCTCTTGATTCACAATTTTCAAATTCACAATTTTCCTTTTTTATTTTTCAAAAAATATTTGGGACTGCCCTGGTGGTCCAGTGGGTAAGAATCCGCCTGCCAATGCAGGGGACACGGGTTCAATCCCTGGTCCAGGGAGATCCCACATGCCAACGAACAACTCAGCCCATGAGCTCTGGAGCCCAAGCTCTCGAGCCTGGGAGCTGCAACTACTGAGTCCATGTGCCGTGACTGCCGAAGCCCGTGCTCCCTAAAGCCTACGCTTCGCATCAGGAGAAGCTGCTGCAACCAGAAGCCTGTGCTCTGCAACTAGAGAAAGCCTGTGAGCAG